TAAAATAATAAAATACAATATAATAATAATAATAATATTTTTTCACTATTTTATGTTCATTTACAAAGTTGTAGTTACAAACTTAGAGATAGGGTTAATCATTGTGAGAATTTCTCTGCTCTTGTCTTTGTGCTAATCATTTAAGACGTCATATTATTAAATGTACTGGATCTCCTAAGTACCAAGATATTGGAATCATATTGGTTAACAAAGCTAGTTTATTGAGGCACTGAAAATCTAATCTAAAGACTTTATAGAGATGTACTTGCTAGGTGTATTATCAAGTATGATCTTCTACATAGTTATGTTGAATTTGAAGGGGTTTAGACAATGAATAAAGTGTTAAATCTTCAACAATTGATCTCAATAAAATATTTTTAATGTACTAAACAAGAAAAGTAAAAGAATGTATTAACTATTATTTTGGGTATATGTGGAGAAAAGATAAGTGCTAGAAGGGGGTTAAATAGTGTGTATCAAAAACTCACATTTTTTTTTTTGTAGCGAAGTAGTAATGCTAGTCAGATTGAGTGCAAATGGAACTCTAGGTATTTTTATACTAGTTCGTCTCAACTACCGAGGCTACGTCTAGTTCTCAATCTAACCAAATTGAGTTTCACTATTTTTCAACAAAGATACAAGTATTCTTTCAACCACTACAAGAAAAAACACTATTATTATCTATGGAATATTACCTACAAAATTTTTTTCGTAGATAATGTTTAGTTATCTACGGAATATTACCTACGAAATTTTTTCTATAGATAATTTTTAGTTATCTACAGAATATTACCTACGAAATTTTTTTCGTAGATAATATTTAGTTATATGGAATATTACCCACGGAATTAGTTATCTACGAAATATTACCTATGAATTTTTTTCCGTAGATAATCTTTAGTTATCTACGGAATATTACCTACGAAATTAGTTATCTACGGAATATTACCTATGAAATTTTTTTCGTAGATAATGTTTAGTTATTTACGGAATATTACCTATGAAATATTACCTATGGAATTAGTTATCTACGAAATATTACCTACGAAATTTTTTCTATAGATAATGTTTAGTTATTTACAGAATATTACCTACGAAATTAGTTATCTACGGAATATTACCTACGAAATTAGTTATCTATGGAATATTACCTACAGAATTTTCTCTGTAGATAATTTTTTAGTTATCTAAGTGATGTAAAGAATATTTGGTAAAAAAAATAAATATTATTAAAAATTGTCATTTTAAATTTTTTATTTTTATAAATTAATGATGATAAAAAATAACATAATAATATTTGGTTTTAAATTTGATATGAAAATATTATGATATAATTAGATAAGATTTTAAATTAGTATTTTATTAATGATTGATAATTAGAAAATAAAACAAGAATAAATACATTTTTTGAATTTTATATCATAGATTTAAGATGAATAAATATATTAAGTTAATTAATATAATTTATTTATAAAAATAATATTTTAAAAGAGAAGGGTTATAATAACACTGGTGTAATTTTTACTAAGTATTACACCGCTCAATAACTTTATATTAAATATGAATTTTATAAATTCAACCGTTAGATTAAAAGTTTTTTACTCTTAACTCAAATATACAAAATTTTATATTAACTCAAGATGATTTGATACTTCATTCTTGTAAAACAAAATTGACATAATATATACATTTCAAAATATACTAACATACACTACTACAAAAACACTGTTTAACATCGCTATATTTACATCGGTTCTAGTAGAACCGATGTAAATCATAAACGCGGTGGAAAACTTGTAAATAAATAGAAAATACAAACATATTTACAGCAGTTGGGAGGAGAAATGATGTAAATATGAGCAATTCTACATCGGTTTTATGATTATTGACCGATGTAGAAATGGAATCAGGAAGTTGTTCTACATCGATTTTGCTTATGACCAATGTAGAAGTGATACCCTAATATACAGCCCGCGAACACCCTAGGAAAGCATACCCTTTCACTCATCAGTAACGTTCCCAGCTGTCGTGAGCAACGACGGAGAGCAAACTTCGTTGAGAAACTTCTGAGCCCTGTTGTGTTATCTTCTTTCGCACACTCTTCTCCCTTCTTGTTGATCACCATTGACTGACCGATCCATTTTTGCTTCGCCCTCTGCTGTGAGCAACGACGGCGATCGAACTTGGTTGACAAAGTTCTAAGCCCTCTTCGACGAACGACGTTAGGTAATCTCTTCTAGTTTTGTTGTTTATCTTAGATTTTTCTTCTTTGTGGTTTCGTTTCTCATTCATGTTAGTGCTTCAACTTGACGCTCTCGGAGGAGGTCTTTGAAACATGGTGGTTGTCTTTGTAAAGTTCATCGTCGATGACAACATTTGCTGACGTGTTTGAGGTTACCCCAGAAACTCAATGATGCATCTGTATTTGTTGATAATTTCTTTGGATTTGATTAGATTAAATCAAAACAATTTTATATTAATTGATTCATCTGTATTTGGTAATAATTTGTTTGGATTTGATTAATTAATCTTGGTCTAGTTAATTAAACAGGTAATAAAGATAATGTTCCCATGTGCTTTGAGAGCACTTGGTCCCTACATGCACATAATCAAAATGTATATAAATTGGCCAGATTGGTGGAATCAGTTGAGAGTGCCCTCATTTTGTCTTTAGCTTTGGGTGCTTTCTCTGTCTTTGGTGTATTTGGTTGATAACTTTTGTCGCATAAGCATGTGATCGGGAGATCAATCTTCAAGTCTGTGTATATGAACAAATATAGATCAACCCTTTAAATGGATTTCGGTGTTTCAAGAGGATATCCCGGTGATCAAAGCCGTATCCAGTCAAATAAAACAATTAAATGCAGTACTAGGAAGCTTTCCTAGGTCATCTCCCAAGGACCACTCTTTTCTGTCAAAGGATCAAACACGAAGGGGGGGTTGGTTTGGTTCAGAATCAAGGTTAAAACACATTAAAATGCAAAGCAGCACAACAAGAAAAATAGATTGGCTCGTTGTTCAGATTGCAACTCTCTTATCCCTGGTTCTCAAAAGATTTCTCTGTTCATAACTTAATCCTTGTTCCATCCGAGTTAGCCAACTAAGCGAAGATTAACTCAAGATTTCCCTACACGAATTAAGCAAACGTATACAACATTAAACCTCCCCACAAGATTAAGCAACCTGTTACTTTGGTGCAGCAACCTAATTCATTACGCATGAACAGGTGTTGAAAACATTTTAACACAGAGGTTCAATGAAGAAGAAGCAAGCAGAACACAGATACATATACGAATAAACCTCAAATAGAGATTACAATCTGCTCAAGGAGCCAACCCCAAGGGTTTTAGCCTTCCATTAAAACGAAAATGTAGATACAGCAAGGTAGAAGAGAAGAAAATGAAAAGTCTTTATTCATTCAAATGTAAAATATGCAGTTCAGATACAACCAGGCAAAAATGGAATGGAAGAAAAACGTGAATGGAGAGCAAAACGGAAATGGAGATACCAAACAGAGAGAAAAATGAAAAAGAATGGAGAGGAATGTAACCCTAACTTGGTCACATCATGTCTTCCCATGTTGGTCCCTACTCTAGGTCCTAAAAGCCCTAGAAAAGTCAAAACGGGCGCCCAATGCAAGTCTGACCCGAATTTACAATGAAATAAACGAAAAATAAAATAAAACAAAATGCTAATGTGGCACTGATGTGGTGAAGTGGCGTTGATGTGGCATTTATCTCTTGAAGTCTAAAATTAATATCCAAGCCCAAAATTGCTCCACAATTAACCTGAAAATGATTAATAAATAAAAACTGGACCAAGTGAATCGGAATTAATTAAAATTCGAATTACTGGCCCAGTGAAGCCCAAACAGTAAAACTATACAATTAATAAGCGATTAGCCCAGATCAACAATTAAAATAGGTATAGAAAGATAAATAAATAAGGGAAAATAATGACTCGTCACCCGGATTCGTAAAGAAAAATGTTTTCCCTCTTTTTCTAATTCAACTGGTCAATTTTAAAATGGTTTGATTGGTTGATGTTTGCCTATGATGTTCATCATGATAAGGTGATTTTGGCTTTGTATCCTGGATGACTGTTTTCCATTGTTGATTTGATTCTCTGGATTAAATAAATATAGGCCCGAGTTGTAATAGCTTAGATAAGGTTTAAAGATAGTGGGGAGTGGGATCAGCTAGCGTGGCTTTAATTATGTGGTGAGGTTTGAGGACATTAATTCCCCCTTCAGCCATTAGCAATCAGATTATCCAACACGTGAATAATATGCATCATGTCTCTAAACAAAAAAAGCTAGCGTTGGATGCTTTATTAAAAGAAAGTAAAAAAGATTGGATTTTATCAAGAACTCACCCCCTATCTAAGATGACATCTCTCTGTGTTAAAGTATGGGGATGCACTTAAAACCCCACCACGCTTTGCCACCATCACTAACATTACATCACCTTGTCTACGTAATCAATATCAGTAAAAGTTACTCCTTATATAGTTCCTGTATTAAATGAGTGTATGGTTTTCTAGTAGTAATATAAAAAAAATTATTATTACTATATCATTAAAGTAATAAAAATTAACCATATAAGAGTCTCTCTAGCAATTGAGGTTATGTGTTTAGATATACTAAATTCAAACTCTAAAATTTCAGAATTAAGATGCGAAACAGGCTCCTTTTTTTGTAGTTTTTATTATTGAAATTAAAGTAACTATTTTTTGGCTATCGTAAAGGAAGATATATATACACATCAGCATTTAGCACTGCATATCTCACAATTGTCGGGTATGGTCAAAAGTCAATGTTTCTCACCTTTCTCATTACACAAAAAAAGTGCTAATACGACAATTCTGTGGATATATCTATCATGTGTTCAATGGCTTTTCTATTTTCATTTTTGCAATTATTTCTTCATTGCTATTTGCTACTACTAATTTGTGGTTGTTTGTTCTAATATGTATGTATGGCCTCCACATTCTAACTTCACCAATCACAATCTTTGGTTTGTTTAGAAAGTGCCCCATCAGTCTTCGAAAATCCAATCAAGAAACAGGTTGGTGTTTATACACATGTATCTTATCTTGTTGTTATCTCTTGAGAACAATATTCTTCATAACTTGCTTTGTGTTTGAAACTTCACTTTTAGGTGTTGCTGTTTGCAACTTCAAATGATTCAGAGAAGTTAATCTCAGTATTTCAAGAAGCAGCAAAACCTTTTAAGGAAAAAGGTATAATTTATTACAGGCCACTAATTATTACTCTCTCTTATGTCATTCTTTCTCTAGACAAATATGCCTTCTATTTAGAAATCAGCACAGTGCAAATAAAAAAGAACAGTGTTTAGCTAGTAATGGAAGTAGATTGAGACGGAGGGGTTTTGAAATTGAGTTAAAACATCATGTTTTTAAGTTAAGTGGCGGATGGAGTTTTGTATGATGTTGTTTGCTGTACTTAAAAACTGGATGACTATGTACAAAGAAGTAGGTTTTAAAATCTCACATATAAGATAATTGCCAAAATTTTGAAAACAAGTTCGTATTTGATTAACTTTAGAGAGGCCAGAATTTGAACTACCAAGAAAAAATCAAGTGGTGCAACCACCATGTTTGGAAATCAGAACCAGCTTGGAACTCCTTTACAACAAATTCATTCCACTATTGAAAAAGCTAAATTTAGGTTGTGTGCCTGATTCATAAATATTAAATTAGAAATCTCCTTGATGGCTTATAGCTTATGTGCGGATAACTTATAGTTAGTGTGCTTGACTCATATATATATATATATATATATATAT